TTCCTTCCTTCCTTCCTTCCTTCCTCCCTCCCTTCCTACACCCTAGCTACACCAACTCTTCCAGGACGTCCAATAACTCCTTAATTAGTCCCTCCGGGACAGTAGTCCATTTCGTATAGACATACGCCCCTGGCTATGCAGAGGTTTTCCCCATTTTTATTGCATTTTTCTATCCTGCGCCAGAGACATTATACTTCAATATAGCAAACTTTTTTTCCTGACGGATTAATGAAAACCTCTTTACTACTGAACAACTAACCATTTGCTACCGTACTCAAATATAGTAAATAACTAGGCGCTTTTTTTATACTGATTTTGCAAAGCACATCTGAAAATTATAATTTAAAAATAGAATCCATGGAAATATTATTATTAGCTATTGTATTCAGTTGGCGTTTGTTCACGCAAATAATAAGATTAACTACTGACAAAAAAACAAAAAAAAAAAAGAAAAGAAAAAAAGCAAAAAAAAAGCAATAGAGCAAGTAAAAAACCAAGGGGAAGTCCTTTCTTTGATTGGGCAACTACTAAGTGTAATAATCAGGTAAACACAATAGAAAACAAAAGAATGAAAGTGAAAAGATGCTAAATATGTTAAAGTGTATTTCACGGGTTTATGAAAACCACTCTATTAGCTAATATCTAGCTTACGTGATCTCTGACCTTGCATGTGTGATGTAGCTTAGTCCTAATTACTAAGTACAGTCTGTTTACTTTGTGTTTTGTCAGGTGAAATGGGAGCAACTTTAGGAGCTCATTCAGTGAGACAACAGATAACTCTACAGCCGAGAACTAAAGCTGTTGATAAAAAACCCTATCTACAGTCAAGAGGAAGCCCTAAAACCGTTGGATTCTCCGACGACGATGAACAATACAAAAGCAGAAGAGAAAATGATGGAACTGTAGAGAATGGTTTTCATGGTAAGGATGGCAGAGATGGGCAGGATTTTGCGACAGATGCAGTTAAAGTTTCTCCTGGGAGAAGGAACAGAATAACACTGAATGTATCTGGATTCAAATTCCAGACCTATATCGATACCCTACAAAAATTCCCCAACACTCTGCTTGGGAACTCAGAAAAACGATCAGAATATTATGATCGAGAATTACATGAATATTTCTTCGATCGTAACAAACAAGTATTTGAAATAATTCTGTATTTTTATCAGTCAAATGGACGGCTTGTTTGTCCACCAGATTTGGCTCCAGAAATTCTGCTTGAAGAAGTTGAGTTTTTTGAACTCGGAGAGACTGCAATAAACGCTGTTAAAGAACTACTTACAGATGAAGAACCTGATGAAGAAGTGAGAGAATTACCAAAAAACCAGATACAACAGAAGATATGGAATTTATTCGAATACGCTGATTCGGGGAAGGCGGCGCGTATTGTAGCCTTATTTTCGATTTCTATTATTGTTGCTTCCATTATCGTGTTATGTGCAGAAACTTTACCAAATTTTCGCGTACTGCCAGAGTCTAAAAATCCTAACAATACTGCCGAAGTGGAGAGGATAAGAAAACACAACCAGTTTGCAAAGACAGGGAAGACATGGTTTAGGTATTTAGAGTCTGCGTTTATCGCTTGGTTTACGCTGGAATATCTCGTCAGATTCTTCTCAAGTCCCAGAAAGCTAGTTTTCGTTCGATCATTTTTGAACGTTATTGATATCTTAGCTATTGTGCCTTTTTACATTGATTTGATTATTCAAAACGTAGTGAGCGACAGCGAGACGCTCTCTCTGGCTTTCCTCCGAATTCTTCGTCTCGTCCGAGTGTTTCGTATATTCAAACTCTCTCGACATTCTAGCGGTTTACAAATACTTGGTCTGACACTTCGTAAAAGTCTTCGTGAGCTTGGCTTACTAGTGTTCTTCTTGATCATCGGGGTAGTCATCTTCTCCAGTATGGCTTACTACGCTGAATCCGGGGAACCTGACACCCATCTAGGGCGCAGTATCCCGGATGCATTTTGGTGGGCGGTGGTAACCATGACAACCGTAGGATATGGTGACTTGGTGCCGAAGACATTGTTTGGTAAATTGGTTGGTTCCTGTTGTGCTATTTGCGGCGTCTTGGCCATCGCACTGCCTGTTCCTGTAATTGTATCTAACTTTGATGCAATATACAAGAAGCACAGAAGCCGTAAGATCAAACAAGGTAAGAGGTCTTTACTGCGCATTCCTGGTAAGATAACGTTTCATTTAACATGAAAAGTGATATGGACATGGCCCTGTGCTTGAGAGTGTGGGATCGTTAGACAGGTATATCTCCATGGGCCTCCATGGAGTCAGTTTAGAGAAAGACCTCGTTGTGTCGAGTAGGATTGAGGGACTGGATTTGGGGACGAAATCGAAAACCTACGTCATCAATGTCACGTGATCTTTCAACTGCAGTCCCACAATCCTGTGCAACATGAGGGTGATGAAAGCAACTTTCGGTGCGTTATGTAGAATATCGTCGATCAGAAATCCTATTGAATGGGGATACTCTTCATACGTAACTTTCCATGGTCAAAGTACCGAGTGCGCATGCTCTAAAGTGTAAACCGCAGCGACAAATGATACCTTTTATTAGGTTTTGTTTTTCTCATAACATCTTTTTACTTTTTTCAGGATCTGATGACGACGAATCGAAGAAGATAAGCATCATGGTTTCCTCGGCTTCTTCTTCATCTTTCAATGACGAAGAATCGTCGTCACCGACCTTCGAGAGGAAATCCAACTCGGAAGAAACACCTCTATGGAGCAGGAAAGAAAATCCTTTGCCTGCTAAAAAGAAGCTTAATGGCAACTTGCTACCAGGAAAAGACCCAGAAGAAGAGAAGCTGTTAACGAATGGGAATTATTTGGCTGGTAATGTTGATGATGAGACACAGAATGAGAAGAAAAATCCCACAGAATTTGAAATGGAACAACTGAGAGACGAGAGAGAATCAAATCCTGAAGCTGATTCTGAGAATAACGGGTCTACTCGAGTTTGACACAAGTTTTGTCGACTATAAACAAGAAATAACTCAACATATCACTAATATAATATGATATGTGACGGCTAAACCAGAGGTAGAACACTTAGTGACACAGGAAGCCCAAGCCTGCAACGGAGAAACAAGAAAGTATAGTTGGGTTATGTGGACAAACGAAGTGAATAATTGTTGGTCAACCTAGCCCGGTTCTATGTACTGAAATCGCTTTTCTACAAGTTAATTTACTATGACGTCACCTGCCACAATAGGTATGTTGCTGTAGCGATTATCATGACTGCGATTAGACATTATCTGCAGCAGCATTAGCAGCAGGCGGACCCATAGACCAGATTGTAAAATATTAAAGTAATAGTTGTACAGCACTGAAATCTCCAACATAATGGGACAATTAATTAACATGATGAATATGTAAATTCCAATTATTTAAGATACAATTATTTTCATGAAGCCTGAATTACTCGTCTTCCAAAGTACAGCTGTTATTGATAATATAATATGTTATAATATTAATGATCATTAATGATTACAATGGATATCCTTCTCTCGGGTCGATCAATAGACCTCTTTAACTAGGGCGTAATGCTTTACATTCCCTTGAGTATCATTTCAAAGAATCCTATTTTTAAAGGAATACACGTGACCACGTGGTATGAAAGGGACAATTACGCGAATATGCATTCACTGTATGCTTTGCAGAGATAAAAGTGCAAGGATAATCGAAAAAATTTTTTATAAGAATTTGCTGCAAAATATTGAGGAAAACGTTTTGCGCTTTTCTTACTTTTAATGACATTCTGAATGAAGTATCAGTGTTGAGATCCAGTGAAGTAGCAATACGAATAATCTACTCTCTTGGATATCTGCATACATGTTATAAACTAAAAATAACATGAATAATCTAACTTAGAATATATATGCAGTCTGCTTGTAATGATGTTTGAAATAATATTAGTCTATACATCTTGCTCCAAAAAGACTGGTTGATATGGGCCAACTGGTCACGTGACTTGATCATGTGCCGCCATATTGGATCGCAAATATCGTCAGTTGATGCTTACATCCACACTTGTCAATAATGCAACCTGTCACTGGCGTCCTTCAAGTCAGGGTCTCGACAATTCCTTGTTGTCCTCCAATATGGCGGTACATAATCACGTTACATACCAGGGTACTTCATCTGTTACTGATATGTAGACTCCTTGCATGTGACGTCAAAGGAGCCCAATTTGGAGGACAAAATAATGGAATTTCAATCACATGACAATTAGCAGTCTGTATTGTTATGACCTCCAAATTGAGCTGCATTCCGACGTGCTGCAAAGAGGTCTATAAGCTGATGAGTATTGATGAGTATTGCAAAATCAACTCCACTAATGGAGCAAATCACATGAATATAGCGGGTAATAATTAGTCGTCTCCACCAATCACGAGTCTATTCCTTATCGAGGCTGGTGATCAGCGACATGAGTGTAAGGTTTCCTCACTGACCACGTGTCATTCCCTTACGAATAAGATTCTTTGTTTGAACAGCCACATCCAGTATTAATGTGCCTTGTCAAGCATAGACCTGCTCTGCTGTTCTGTAATAGTAAGCATGGTGCATTGTGGTCTAGCTTGGGTATAAACATCTTTGCAATGCACCTCTCTTCATAAAACTAGGAAAGACCTGTGTAAACAAAGACACGATACTCAAGGGAATGACACATGGCCTGAATTGAGCGACAATACACCTATGTAAAACGGTTTTTAGTTATAGAATTATTACGAGTGACCAGAAAAGAATGGATCCAAGTCGAGGTTGGACATAATGATATACAGTAAATGTATGAACACACCAAGTCAAACCTCGACTTAGAGCTATTGTTTCCTGTTCAAAATTCGGGCAAGGTTTATTGTTAACTATAACAATACGATACATAGATATATGATCAGTATATCAACTATTTTACAAAGTAATATTATAATCAAGAACAGCAATAAGGATCCTGGTCAATTTTCAAAGATTGTGATGTTTGTGTAATTTTTCTATCGTTTGTTAAAGTTCTCAAAATGTTATTTTATATAATCTTTGTTGAATTTATCCGACATGTAAATAAAAGCCCTTTTGTTTTCCACTGGTTATTTCAGTGGAGAATTCGAGTGAGAATTTCAAGTTCAAAATAATCTCTTTATCTTCAAATAAGGAATTTATGCTCATCAAATCGCACCAAATATTCTTGCGCATGGGTATATATGTGACATCCGCTGACATCCTGCTTCGCGTGCGGTTTCAACGTGAGGACGAAAACATGAGGACGGCGTTTGCTGTTGTCAAAGACGTGTATTTTGTCACAACGTTCTTAATCATTTTTACCATCAACCGCCTCCCTTACCTTTATTGGTAATTAAGGGTGCACTCTGGGATATCCTTAACGATAATAGACAGGATTTAAAACGGCTTGGTTTCAAGTCATGTTTTATTTAGATAATCTAACTCTCATATTACTTAGTTCCTTTAAGTCCTTTGAGCAAAGGCAAAGAAGAAATGAATACCTCATCAACTTGTGACGTAAACGGATCACGTTTCAAACTCTCACGTGCCGAACGTAGCGTCTCATTTCCAGTTTGTAACGATGGCAACGAGAAATTTGGAGACAAGAGACGAGGTGAGTTGCTTGGTGCAGTAGGATATGAATCACTGATACAAAACGTACTCTCCCCCCCTCCCTGGGTTTTTTCAGTTTGTTGAGAAGACGTTTGTCCTAACTCGGTCAGACCGGGCATAGGAAGAAAATTAGGGGGTTTTTGAAGCCTGTTACGTAAAACAGGATATGCGTTTTTCATTTTCTTCTTGTCTCTCAGGACATCCACGTGACTAGCACTTGAACACTTTTCTCCATGGGATATTCCTGAACAATCTTTCATTTTGCTCACGTCATCTTTGGATTGACGTAAATTGTCACGTGATAGGTGCTCAGGTGATACATATTTTGTTACGTCTCTCTTGAAGGCTCTTCCATGGATGTCCACGTCACTGATAGTGTATCTTGGACCACGTGATGTCCACGTGACTTCTAGGATGCCGTACTTACTCAGACCATATTCACTTGCTCCTGCGGAAGATAAGACAACCAGTACTTAAAGGTATACCTAATGAATGCTAACATTTTATGTTGTCTTGTGGGAGAATTCTGCATACCCATCCTAACCTTCCCCCATGCACCCCTTGATATCACCCCTCTCCCCCCGGGTATGTATGGTCAGTGACGACTTGATATCACCCTTCTCCCCCCGGGCATGTATGGTCAATGATCAGAAACAAACATCACCTTACCTGTGTGGAAAGATAGCCGATATGGTAGAGATCTCACAATCTGTTCCGTTATCAACCTTTCGATTTCCTTATAAGGTAGTGGTCGATTGACGTCCAGTGAATGCGCGAGTCTTTCTCCCTGGACACCTGGCACCAAACTTCTACGAACAGGTGTACGTAGAGCCGATATGCGATGACGTACACTACTCACTTCATTTGCCTGGTTGAGGAAGAATAATAATGGAATGTACTTTTATATAATGCTTCATGAGTTGTGTCATGGGTGTATATCAAAATACAGATCATGATGATCACGCGTATCATTTGCGTACATGATATTCTACTGTTAATTATCCATAGGAAGTTGATGATAATACCAATCATGTACCAATCCTCTTTTACATGCAGCAGCGCCTCAATGTCATCAAAAGACCGCAAAAGTATTCATGATATTTATTCATCAAGTTGCTTACCTTGTAAATCTTATTGTATTTAATGTCGCGTATTTGCTTTTCTCTTCTTTGAGCCGTGGCGGTCGAAGAGGGCTTCATGTCCTCTGCAAAACGACGGCTTTTCTTGACTCCTTCTGCAGTATACGTCAACTCGTCCAGCTTTCCGACTTCAGGAAGACCGCTGCTGACCGCTAGCGTCCGCTGGGGAGCTATTTTTACATGTTCTAGTTCTTTTAAGGCATTTATAATGATATTCTTGATGAAAAAAATTCGATCTTCTTTATTGCTTATCACTGAAAGAATCCACATCAAATCTGTGATGCTCACTGCGCATGTCTCACTTGTATTTTCCGCTGTCCATTCGCTGTTTAGTTCTGCGCGGTATTTTCTCATTGTTTTATCAACTTCTAGAATTTGACAATCTCTGTCTGATAACGAGCTTTTGATTTGAAGCAACTGTAGCAATAGCGACTGCTTTATTTTCACTTTCAGTTTCTTGGTGTTCTGTTCTTCATCTAATTTGCCCTGAAGCAGGTTTGCCACGGTGTTAAAAACAGGTTTTTCTTGTTTTAGTACAGCTGGTAATTGTGAAATCAGGTTCAAAATATCAAGTATCTCGAATGATATTTTCTTTTTTGATGGCTGTTTTCCTTTCATGTGCATTAGAGACAAGAGTAAAGTACGTCCCACATGGTGTGTCTTCATCTCGTTCAACACTTCCACGAACTCGTCTAATGACATCTTTGTTTCATCATCCTCGTACTCGTCCTCACTTTCTAGTTGTTCTGTTTCTTCTTCCGTTACCTTTTCTGTTACTTTCCCTTTGCCTTTTATCTTCCCTAAAAATATATAATCGTAATTTTCTTAATAGACCACTTAAGCTCGGGTATAATGTTTTCCCATTTCAGACCACATGTCATTCTCTTGAGAATAAGATTCTTTGTTTGAGTTGTATCCATATTCATGTGTCTTCTTGTGCGCAACTGTTGAACAACGAAATCATACTCTTGGGAATGACACGTGGTCTGAAATGGGAGAAGATCACGCCCAATTCAGCATAAGATGTGGTGTATTAGAGTATTAGGTACTTAGAAAAAAATGGACCAAGGAAAATGCATTATTATGAAATACCTTTTCTCGTAGGGATCAATGACCCAGATACACCGGATGTGACGTCACTTGCACGTCTGAGTAGCGAATGCCGACGTAATGCTGAAACCAAGACCAGAAATGTGAGTTTATATACAACTGATCTGCTACTATTATAAAGTACATTAATGATTCAAAAGTCTTAGCGCGAGACATGTCTATTTTCTAATTAAGGATAAGATTTTGTACTCTCGATATTAAGAAAGATTCCCAGTCCCGTTTATTTGTTCGCCATGTCATCCTTTCTTTCCTTTCCTTTCCTTTCCTTTCTTCTTCCTTATCCATACCTTCCGTGCTACACAGCATAGCTTCCAGTGTTTTCGAATGGCGTCGAGAAGCTGTTGCTGTCACCACTGTAGAAGAAGAGCCACCTAATCTCGGCAACAGACTCGAAGATGAATAACCAGCAATGGCTTCTTGTCTGAACGATTCAGCAAGTGCATCTAATACAGGTAAAAAACCAAATACAGATTAGAGAATGAAAAACCTATATATAGTGGGTGATAAATGTACCATACTATCTCACCTGTACTTGACGATATTCCCTCTTGAGGGGTATTCTTTCTTATACTTTTACCCTGGAAGGATGATTAATGTCCACAATCAGAATTATCAGATGTAAAGTAGATATCATTAAACATCATCTACCACTCCTTCCTTCCTTGCTCCCTTCCTTCCTTCCTCCCTCCATCCCTCGCTTCCATCCTTCCTTCCTCCCTCCCTCCCTC